GCTTATAAATCTAACCATAGAAGTTGGAATTAAGAGCTGCGTATGGGTTATTATAAATTCAAGTAGATATACAAACCTAAATAAAACTAACGTCTTCACAAATAATCAATTTCTAACATGATGGCAGAACAAAATGTTGAAAATCAGCTGAAATAGCAATAAAGAAGGTAAAAACATAAAACCTTATAATGACATCGTTGCTTGCTGGGTAGTTTCTGTGGTCATGGCCACAATCCTGCTTTGATGACGATATATGCTTCATTTTCGTTACTTCACACAAAATTTGGCCAACAGTATAATTTTAGTTCATAACTCGCTGAAAATCAACGCTTTCTTAAGACTCAACTGCAAAAACTGTTCCACAGAAAATGAATAATGAATTTTCGGACGGCTATTCTGATCTATGTGGAAAGCTATAATCTTTTAGCCTGGAGACAGCAAAGCTGGTTCACAGCATACTGAACACATATTTCAGTACCATATTTCTTACCTTTTGCTACTTTTTACAACTAGCCATCTGAGTAGACATTCTAAGGAATTCAGGAGGCCGAGACCAACGTATATACGTCTGAAGTTCCATATTTTGAAACCAGAAGTGAATTACTATAATTTTCTGTCAGAACGCGTAAGATCGGCACCTTTTGTCGACACACAACAACCTTTGGTCTCCACAGTACTACAAGTTGCAGAGACTAATATAGTCGACTGAACTCCTATCCTTACTACTGAAGATTGGCTACTTTTAATCGAAACATTACTGTTACGTTTATTACTCATTTAACAACATCATGTTTTCAAATAGTTGTGGACGGAATAGAAGAAGCTTCCGCTTAACAGGCTTCCATGTCTAGTAGCAGAGGATTACCAAATCCTCCAGGCAGGAAGCTAGGTATGTTAACAATAAAAGAGGAAAAGGAAATTGGTAAATCATAGTGTGATGCTATCCTTAATCCTTAAGAATAAATCAAGTTGCCTCTTAAAGGACTCCTGGGAATTCGCTTGGACTAGCTCGGCCGGCAGCAAAATCCAGCATTTGACGACTTGTAGTGACTCACTTTTATCACGAGAACACGATTGGTTTATTGAAAAAATTATTATTATTACCAATTGTACCAGTGACCGTTTTAATGTGCTTTTGTTTAACTGTGCTAAAAAGCATCCATTATTCACACACTTCGATTGTGACCTCGCATGAATTCTGTTACGTTCTGTAACCAAGCTTGTATCCTGGCACGATCTCGGTGTCCTTTCGATACCACGAGATCGCCAGCGAATATATCTCGACTTGGTCCATTAACTGTATACTGATATTTGGCTTCCGAGGGATTTTATGGATTTATTTGGCACGTGTTTCTTGGTAGCGGTGTTCATAGTCAACTTCGACACGACGCCACGCTACAGACTCTTAAGGAGTAGAAGTTGGGTTTACAGTTCGTTCTGCTGTGTTGTGTCTCCAAATTCAAAAGTTACCTCTTACGTTAGTGTTGGAACTAATTTTAAGTAGGTGTTTGAGAGGAAATTCGGAAGTGTTAAGGATACTGTAAGCCATCAAAAGGTCACCTCTAAGACACCTATACTCTAATGGGTAAGGGTTAAGTGATTGCAGGCTCTCTTCATAAGTTTTAAATTTGAATCCTCGAACTGATTTCGTGGCTCGCCGTTGGATACGCTCCAGGTTGTCCTTATCCTTTTGGAGTGAGAGAGGAAATACTATTTTACTGTACTCTAAATGGGGAAGGATAAATAATTGAAGATTATACGAAAAGTTCTTCCGTCAAACTGGCCAAGAATGCGCTTCAGTGTTACCAGTGCAAGGTTTGCTCGGAAGGCATTTTTGTCACTGTTAGCATAAGACTTTAAATCGTAGGGAATCAGGACTCCTAAATCTTTATCGACTTGAGATACTACTAGAGAGGATTTTCCTTAGTTGTAACTGTAGCCTGCGACATGTCGCATATGGACTATTTTACACTTTGAAGTGGTAGAGGTAAGTCTGTTGTTGTCTGCCCAAGTTTGAAGTCGAGTTATATCCTCCTGAAGAGCCTATATATCGTCTTGGTTGCGTATCTCTCTCCAAAGTTTCACGTCGTTGGCAAAAAGTAATAAGTCTGACGTTACCTGTTGAGGAAGATCATTTATGTGGATCAAGAAGAGAAGAGGTCTTAGTACTGAGCCCTGGGGGACCCCACTAGGACATTCCATAGCCTGAGATAAAGTGAAATTAACTCTGACCTTAAAATATCGATTTTTCAGGTATGAAGTGTGCCAATCGATTAGAGGTGGTCTGATACACAATCGTTTGAGCTTATTGATAAAACATGTATGGTTAACCTTATCAAAAGATTTTGAGAAATCTAGAGAGATTATGTCAACCTTTCCCTTGCGATCGAGAATGCTTGCCCATTTGTACACCGCAATCAGCAGGTTGGTTATACAAGAGTAGCCCTTCTTGAAACCATACTGTTAGGGTGAGAAGAAATTTAAGGACAGAAAATAGTCATTTATACCACCGCATATCCGGGACCCCATGATTTTTGAAGGTATTTAGAGAAGAGTCACCGGTCGGTAACTTGACGGTTCATTGCGTCTACCTCCTTTGAAAATTAGTGTGATGTGAGCCAGCCTCCAATTTCCCGGTAGTTTTCCTCGGCTTAGCGAGTGTGAGAACATCACGCTGAGCGGCGTTGATGCTGCTTCCCTTAGTATGGCAGAATGAACCATATTCGAGCCAGGAGAAGTGTCTAATCTTAAGTGCTGCAGTTTCCGGCACACTTACTGAGCTCTCAGGTTCACTTCAGAAAGTCTTTTGGAGTTGCAGATGAAGATTTCGTCAGTATAGTTTATGTGGGTCGTATGATATATCCGAGAGTATCGTTCAACCGGAAGTTTAGCGGCGTCGCCTTCGTCTTTGGTCGGGCCCGTAAGATCTAGCAGTTATGAAACTTCAGTTCTGGCTTGACGAAGAGAGGCTGCATAACGGAACAAGCTTTTCGAGTTAGAGGCAAATTTGTTCTTAAACTTTGTTTGGTACTGAAACCTGTCGTCTCTTATAGACTTCGTGCATATGTTCCTTATATGTTTGTATTACCTGTACGCTTCGATGTTGTCAGTTCCTTTGTACTCTGCTCAATAGTGGCTTTTGCGGCTTAGCATTCGAAGAGTGCGATTCCTGGTGATTGTGGGTTGATGATAACATGGGGGGCCGTTTGAGGAACTGAATGATTTCATTTAAGAAGTAATCATTGTGCTTTGTGTCATGCTTAGTGTTGCGGTGCTGTTGATGGCGCAAGTTAATCCATCGTCAAAACACGCTACTGCAAATACAGGACACTGGCCGAGGTAGTATGTTAGAGTTTCTTAATTGCTCTCACTGCCCCCAGTGACCAGTTATAAATTCATACAATCTAGAGTTCTTTATCTTCTCTATATTTACACTAATGTAGCTCTTTATTAATTACACATCCCCATTTTGCGACTTACACAATCTAATTTAACACGTCCTTCATTTAATTGTATACTTCCTCAAAATGAATACCACTTAATGATATTACTGCCATTTTCAAAACAATCAGTGATTGTTGTTCAATCAGTGACGGTTTGAGTTCACAATCAGCAGTCAACATGCCTAGTCAAAAAACTCTTTATGGCAAATATTTATCTTCAATTTTAATATGACTGTAGAATTAGGGACAGGGAGGCTGCTTGATAAAGGGGTTTTAACCAACTATGGGTACTGTAACTAGTTGTGATACCGTAGTGAAGGAGAACACAGATGAGAACAACCGACTATAATTAGCACAAAGTTGCTGAGTTACTTGATAAAATAGAAAAACCACACTCCAGTATTTGGTTAGCAAAATGTTGATTAATTGTCTCGGACTTCATTCTTCCTGCGTTTCCATAACAATCGCTCACTTCTCAATCTTCTCGACTTTCTGCTGCCAGATATTCTATATCTAACTAGTATCATATACTACTTATGTCGATGTATGTAGCACACACCAAAATACGAATTCCTAATTGCTTCCATTTGTAGGGCAGGACACAGGTGAAACCCACTTGTTTTCTGATGGTCACTCGGCCCACATGTCCAAGTGAACGAATGGAATGCTCAAAGCGATTTACTAAGGCTATTATACGGACCATTTCTATGAAAAAAGTTGGATTTCTCCTAGTAACATGAAACATGGCCTTGTTTACTATTGCAACAGCATTTAATTACAGGTTTCAGTAGTCACGAACCCCAAAGGCTTCATTTAAGCATCATGTCACACATATAAGCTACTTCGTTATAAACAAACATCCTGTTGAGTAGCAGCATCAAAATACTAGAAGCTATGATGTAGATTTTTCTCTGAATGTGAAAACAGAAACTGAACCGATTATTTTAATTAAGTGGAAATCTTTAGATGCATTCAGATACTGTTTGGAGGAAACGCTGTAATAGTAGAATCCGTACTTTGAAGTTTTATAAACTCCTATTGGACGTTTCTCAAATGAATAGTAGTTGAACAGATAGTCCGGATAAAACAGATGACCAACACCTGTATGTTTGTTTTCGAAACACGTAAAGCTGATATTATTATTCAGCATTTAGTTGTCTCTAAGATGCATCAGTTTACTTCGAGTAAACAGTTAGTGAGCGTCAATATCAATTTACAGGGAAAACCGTATTTGGGGGATGCTTAGCACCCAGACGTAATAACCTAGTTAAAAGTTTAACAATGCTCACAAATGAGGTTCATTAGAATTGTCTGATGTTTGTTTGATGTTTCGCTTGACACAAAAGAGAGAGGTTTAAAAAGCTCGAAGATTGAGAGAAAAAGCACGTAACTGCCAGTGATTATGCTAAAAAGAGAATTCTTCCAACATTACGAAAGTATAACATTTTAAAACATTTCAAAACACTTTATACATACTGACAAACCCTGAACTTTGCTTATTCTTCATGCTCTCTGTACCTACAAAACTATTTGGCCTATTTCGCAAATTTTCCAAAGGTCACGGTGCCAAAATTGGTTTTAGGTTCTCCAGTCAAGGTCGAGTGAGTCCTTTGCTACCGAATTTCACTGTCTTTAAAAAATGAATTTAAGACATTTCCTAATTGTATGTGTCTTATCAAATATTTTGGAAGCGGTTAGTCAATATATTCATGACTCGTACTTCAATTCCATCTCTACAGTTAGCGTTATTTGTTTTATAAGGCAACCAACATATATGGAAGTATAAATATTCCATCAAGTTTCTTGTGTCTCTTAATTGAACTAAAACACGGTCTAGCTTAGTCTGTTGAAAGACTAAAAACGAGATTCTTTTCACTCTGATTTTTGGTCAACGGAAAAACGGGATTTAATTAAAACCTATATATATATATATATATATATATATATATATATATATATATATATATATATATATATAATGCAGTATATACTTCATGTCATTGGGTTCATCACTTCTTTAAGCGTATGGACTTGTATGTACAATCTATCACTTATACTGAATAGTAATTGCAATGTCTTCCAGTCCACTTCTTATCATGTTTTATTACGATTTTCGTCTAAAAACTGACATCTAAGGTCAGCGTATTCCACGGTCCTCGTATTTATCATTACTAGGTTCGTATTCGGTAATGAACGTCAGTGATGAAGTAAACACTGAGTTTTCGTTATACAAATGCTAAGGTTTTCAACATAGATGGGGCACCAGGCACTTAATTTTCGAAGAACCCCGGAATTCCTTCGTTAGATATCTTGTTAACTTCTCTTCTGACTGTTTAGAGATTCATGATGGAAAGTTGCATCCTATACTACTCAATTGAGATCTGTGAATAGAAACATAAAGATTGTAAAATCAGTTTTTCATAACTTCAGGTTATCCGCTCTAAAAACCCACACTCCGCGTCAATATCTAAGGGCTGACTTCTGTCGTTGCACTACCATCCTGAAATGGTTGGAGACTCTTGGTGACATGGCTCAGAATCGATCACAATGGCGTCGGTGTATACACTCCCTGTCTTCCCTTAAACTAAGAGATTAAAAGCGCTTCATATCTTTCTTTCTACTAACCAATTCTTTCTTCTTGTACTATATCTCTATATGCAATCTTTCTCTTATATATTACCACCTTTTACCTAACCACTGTTATGAATCCGGTGTTCATCTTGTTGTGCTGATGCGGTATGGCAACCTGGACCGATGCACATATGTGCCTGGTCCTACGTTGTAGCTGACTGACTGACTGACTACCATCCTGAATTCCGACTTTATATATTGACTACACTCACCTCTCTTCCAATATGGACTAATGTAAAGATCTTAATTAGCATAAGCTTAAATGGCACCCGGGACTGTAGAATAACTAAATTGAATATCACTTCAAAAACTGAACTTTTTGAAGAAGAAGCGGCACTGACTAATATTGAATTCTAACTAGTTAAAAGCTGTATCAAACAAAAAGCTCTGAGAACTAACAAGATATTTATGTATGTTGTGACTGAGTTGATGAACTATTTATGTGATAACCCTAGGTAATAGAAACATGGATATTTGTATAGTCTTTGGTACTCAATATTTACCTCCGAAAATTAACTATAGCTAGAAACCTGGATCATGTGTGTCGGTTCATGTTGCCACCCTTCACATTTCCATAGCCTAGAAGGGAATTAAGGCCAAAAACAAATGATCGGAAATCATACGACTCATAGTGATAAAGTAAACACAGGTAATATGGGTCATGGGTAAAAGATGAAGTTTAAAAAAACCTACGATGGTATAGCTTAATGTGCAAAAGAAGCAAACTTGACCGCTTTGAAGTCACGTCAGTTAGCCACAACTTAGGACCAGACACAAATATGCGTCGGTTCAAGTTGCCATACCTCATTAACACAACAAGGTGGACACCGGATTCATAGGAGTGGTTAAGTCAAAGGTGGTAATATATAAAAGAAACATTGCAATAAGGATATAGTACCGTAATAAAGAATTAGTTCGTAGAAAGAAAGATATGAAGCGGTTGTAACCTCTTAGATTAAGGGAAGACAGAGAGTGTATACACCGACGCCATTGTGATCGATTCTGAGCCATGTCACCAAGAGTCTCCAACCATCGGTTACGATAGTCACGCGGACCCCAACCAAGTAGTCTGCATCTACCAACATGGCTAAGACCAGGAGTTAGTGACTTCAAGTACTGATGCCACATTTTGGTTTGGCCGCCCCTAACTTTCTTCCAACGTTCCCTAACATTAGTCAGCATTGCGCGTCATGGTATTCGGTGTTCAGGCATTCGTAACACGTGGCCCTACCATCTCAATCGATGAAGATTCACAACCTCATCAACTGATTCACCATCATTTCCCAATACCCTGCGTCTAACCTCACTATTACTTACGTGGAGATCCCAGCAGACGCCAGCAATATTTCTGAGGCATCTGTGGTCAAATACTAGTAGCTTACGAGTATCTCCTACTCTTAATGGCCATGTTTCGTCAAAAATGACAGATTATTAACTTCCATAAAAGCTTGAGTGCTAGTAGTATCTTAGAGTACCTTTTTCAAGTCCTGCTAGTAAGGATTAAATGTGATCAAATACTATTAGCTTACGAATATCTTCTACTTTTAATGGCCATGTTTTGCAGCCGTCAAGTAGAACAGAACAGACCGCCGCGCAGTATACTCGTCCTCTTATTGATAGACGGATATCTCACCTTCGCCATAGGTGACGTAAGTTGGTAAAAGCCAAACGAGAACCGTGCAGAAAATGTCGTCAGACACCAACCCATTTGGGATGATCAGACTTCCAAGATAAGTGGAGTTGTCAACGCGTCCGACTACTTTACTTGCCATCAGTCACCGTTGGGGAGGCTCGATAAAAGATTGTCGCTCATTCTGGAGTACCTGCTTGGACTCCGACTAATTTCTAATACGGACACGCATCTGCTTGCGCCTCACTGGACGCAAAATAGCCTCAGTAAGAAGACCCATTAGAACTTAATTGAGCAGCGAGAAAACCAAAAGTAGGTTCCAGGAACAAGTGAGGTCACAATTAGGTAGTTCTGAAAACGAGGCTGACCCAGATGTTGCTTGAAAAGATATACAAACAGCTGTGGAAACAGCAGTGACATCTATCAGTGATTTGAACCACAGGGTTACAAAGAACCAATGGATTTGCTCAAGGTCTATTGCACTGATGGATTCTCGTAAACTCATCCCATCAGGCTCTGAACACGATGAAGAGCGACAACCAATCAGATCTAGGTTAAGTAAATGACTAAGGAACGACCGTGAGCAGTGGTGGGCAACGAAAGCAAAAGAAATGGAAAAGGCGGCAGCTATAGGGAACACAAGACAGCTCTACAGACTAATAAAAGAAACTGGAATTAATAAGTCAAGTGTAAGTGAGACGATCTTCAAAAAGTCGACACTACTATCTGCTTCGAGCCCCCAAATGCCCTGGTATGGCCGAGAGTAGGATGGGTTCTCCCTCCCTCTCGAAATGCTCTGACACGGCCACGCGCATACAGCCTCTGCCAGGTAAGTCCTACTCACTGCCTTCTCGTTGCGGGGGTGTTGTTTACGAAAATGAGAGGACGGAAAGCGAGTGTCCGGCGCTTAAACCGGATCCCAATTCAGTGGTGCACATGGGCTCTAGTATCCTGAGGGAACAAATGGCGTATGAACCAATCGTTGGTCACCGGCTACCATGGGACTGCATCTTCTCACGATGCTCTACTGCCTTGTGGGTTAGACCTTTAGGTCAAAAGCTTGGGGTGTGGCCCCCTAAGAAAACCACCTGTTTCGGTCTGTTCACTCGGGTAGTATCACAGGCCACACACAAACTTGAAATGTCGATATTTATGGGAAATACTTGTCTTGCTTCGATTAACAATCAAACAATTCACATTATTATCATTATTACTATCATTGTTATTATTATTTTTTTACATCATTTATTCACTCTTTTATTCCCACTCTGTGTATCCTTATTTTTCGACTTATACAGCAGCTCGCCTATGGTGGAAACTCGGTTCTATCTAAACATTCTCGGGTCACTGCCTAGTTGAAAATTGTATGCTATCACCAAATACGAATACTGAAAGCAATTTTTCTGAAACCACGTGCACCGTTCAAACTGGCTGCCTTCAACGTTCGCACACTTACGCAGGTCGGACAACAGATAGGGCTGACTATGTCTTTAGAAAGTCTTAATATCGATGTTTGTTGTCCATCCGAGACTCGTATTCAAGACTCTGGTGAAGTACTACAAATTCGCTCTACATCTGTCGCTTCAAAAAGCTTGTTTTACGTGCGTTTATCCGGGGACCATGTGGCATATTCGTCTGGTCTTGCTGACGTTGGTGTCGCACTAAGCGCTAGAGCTGAGGCAGCACTAATCGATTGGATCCCTATTAACAGTCGGTTATGTGCTGTTAGATTAGAAAGTTCCATCAAAGTGAGAAGAAATCGACGTGAGAAACGATGTGTTTTTTGTCATCTTCTATCACCAGTTACCTGTTCTTCTCCAGAAAGTGCGTTCGACAAATATTGTAGTACTAGCCGGAGACTTGAATGCTCAGGTCAGGCGTCCAGGCACAGAAGAGAGTCGTTTAGGTGGCCGATGGGGACTTGTTGGTCGCAGGACAGATAACGGGGACCGTCTACTGCAACTTTGCTCAGACCACAACCTGTTTCTGGCTAGCACTAACTTTCGGCACAGTCATCGCCGATGTGCCACCTGGCGTCCTCCCTCTGCATCTCAAGCCTGGACTCAGATTGATCACATCCCGATCAGCTACCGCTGGCGTGGTTGTGTACAAGACTGCTGCTCCTTTTGGAGTAATTATCTGGACTCTGATCATGCCTTAGTCTGCGCCAATCTTGCCTTACTTTTCAGTGGACAACGAAGTGACCGCCACCAACGGATTGATGTTAGCAAGCTGGTTGCAACTTCTGTTGCAAGTAAGTATCAAACCGAGCTAGCTTCTAGGCTAGCTACCATTCCACCGAAAAGTATAGATGAGCATTGGTTGCAATTGCATGACGCCATGAAAATGGCGGGTACAGTCAGTTGTCGGTTTGCGAAACGTCCCGCTTTTAAGCACTGGGTTTCTTCAGGCTCCTTACAACTCATTGAAGCCCGTCTGTCTTCTCCGGGTGACCGTGAGTTTGACCACACAAATCTCATTCGATATGTGTGAGGGCTGTGATACTGCTCGGGTGCCCAAACCGAAGCAGGTGGCTTTCTTAGGGCGCCACACCACGAGCCTTCGACCTGAAGGTCTGATCCACAAGGCAGTAGAGCATCGTAAGGAGATGCAGTCCCATGGAAGCCGGTGACCAGCAATTGGTTCATTCGCCATTTGTTCTCGCAGGATACTGGAGCCCATGTGCACCACTGAATTGGGATCCGGTTTAAGCGCCGGACACTCGCTTTTCGTCCTCTCATTTTCGTAAACAACACCCCCGCCACGAGAAGGCAGTGAGTAGGACTTCCCTGGCAGAGGCTATATACGCGTGGCCGTGTGACAGTATTTCGAGAGGGAAAGCGGACTCTCCCCACTCTCGGCCGTACCAGGGCATTTGGTGGCCGTGAGTTTGACCACAAACGAAGGTTGTTACGTAAGGAAATCGGGCAAAGCTTGAGTAAGGACCGAGAACCCTGGTGGTCGGAGCGTGATAATGAGCTGCAAGCAGCAGCTGCATCTGGTAACTACCGGAAGCTCTTCCAACTCATCCGAGCCACTGGCAGCAAGAAGTCTGATGTGAGTGAAACAATGTGCGAGGATGATGGGATGCCAATCACTAACATCCATCGACGTCTTGGACGATGGGCAGAATTTTTCGAAGGGCAGTTCAACTGGCCTGCTGCTCCGGCAACATCGGTCAGACTGTCCTGCCCTCCATGGCCGGTGACGACTGATCCACCAAACGAGGAGGAAGTCCGCAAGGAACTCCAACTCTTGAAGCGTTACAAATCACCTGGCCCAGATGACTTACCTCCGGCACTTTTTAAAGATGGTGGTGACTTTTTGACTAAAGAATTGACGACGTTGTTTACAAAGGTTTGGGAAATAGAGAGTGTACCAACGTCACGGAATGAGTCGATAGTTGTCCCTATCTTTAAAAAGGGTTCACGTCGTTCCTGCAACAACTATCGGGGGATAAGTCTACTTCCGATTGCGTCCAAGCTATTGGGTTCCATCATACTTCGTAGGTTGTTCAAAACCCGAGAAAGATTGACTCGCGAGGAGCAGGCTGGGTTTCGTTCTGGTCGAGGATGTATTGATCACATCTTCACCCTCCGCCAAATGTTAGAACATCGCCATACTTATCAAAGGCCAACAATCGTAGTGTTTCTTGACATCAGGGTTGCCTTCGATTCGTTGGATAGGACTGTTCTCTGGGATTGTCTATTGAAGAAGGGTGTGCCTGAGAAGTTTATTAACATCCTAAAAGCCCTATATAAAACACCTCAGGCAGAGTGAGGGCATACAACCACCTCTCTCCATTGTTCCATTCGAGCAGTGGGGTTAGGCAGGGTTGCCCAATCTCACCATTCCTCTTCAACTTTGCTATCGACGACATTCTGGAAACAACCCTTATGGATGTAGAGAATGGTGGTGTAGATCTTTTTCCTGGAGCAAGACTTCTCGACCTTGGGTATGCGGACGATATTGTCTTACTGTGCGATAATGCCTAAGGCATGCAATCCGCACTTAATCAGTTGGCAATCAGTGTCCGTATGTATGGTATGTGCTTTGCACCTTCGAAGTGCAAAGTACTTCTACAAGACTGGCAGGATTCCAATCCTGTACTCACCCTGGATGGTTAGCAGATAGACGTAGTCGAGAAGTTCGTGTATCTGGGTAGCTGCATAAGTGCTGGTGGGGGTGTGAGTGATGAGATCAATGCACGTATAGTGGAAGCCAGAGCGGCTTATGACAATCTGGGTCACCTTTGGCGCCTTCTTGATGTTAGTCTGGCTGTAAAAGGTCGGATCTACAACGCGTTGGTGAGAGCAGTTTTGCTCTATGCTTGTGAAACCTGGCCTCTCCGAGTTGAGGACATTAGACGACTCTCTGTGTTCGATCATCGCTGTCTCCGAAGGATTGCTGACATTCAGTGGCAACACCATGTCAGTAATACGGAGGTTCGGAACCGTGTGTTCGGGCACAGGGACGATAATGCAATTGATGTCACCATCTTGAGACACTGATTTCGGTGGCCTGGACAAGTTCTACGAATGTCGTCCCAGAGAATTCCCCTTTGTGCATTATTTGTCGACTCTGGGACTGGTTGAAAAAAACGGAGAGGTGGTCAGTGTATGATATAGTGTCGTGGTATGAAAGAATGTTGCAAAGTGCTGGCTTCTGTTGGTCCTTCTCGCCTGGCTGAGGTCCGATAGATGGTGCTACACAGTGGCTAGAGACGTTATGAGATATGGCTCAGGATAGAATCCAATGGCGATCCTGTTGTAACCTTATTTTACTTCATAAAAAGTGGTTGTATGTTCTTTAACTAGAAGATTTCTTCTGACTGTACCTTTCCGTTTCCCCCATTATTACTATTATTTTTATTATTATTACACTACCTTACACTAATCTGATCATTTAAAACTTTACCGAAACTAATCTGTTCGTGATTTTTCTAATTTTTTACGCTCCTTATCTTTTTTTTCTTCTTTCCGAATCCTCATTGTTTTCTGTGGTGCATATATACTTGGTGCCCTCTTGTACCAATATTTTTGTTCATATAATAGTAATATAAGACGTTTTGAATGATGGGCGGAAAATTTCAGAGAACAGTTCGGTTGGCCTTCAGCTACTCTACAACTACCCACCATTCTCAGACAGTGTAAATAGGACATTGAAGTAGGTCCTCCAAATCCAGCAGAAGTTCAAATAGCTATAGTTAATCTGTAACGAGGAAGAGCAGCTTATGCAAAATGATTGGCTTCAGAGGTCTTTAAGGATGGTGGTCCAGTTTTAGCGATTAGGTTGATTAATATTCTAGCTAAGATCTGGGAATTGAATGTAGTCCTATCTGACTGATCGCAATCACTGATCGTCCCAATATATAAAAAAGGATCAAAATCATCTTATGATAACCATAAGGGGATTAGTTTGATTAATATAGTATCTAAAGTACTAGCCTCAGTAATTATCGGACGCCTAACTAAAACTCGTGAACTGCAAACACGAGAGAATCAAGCTGGCTTCATACCCGGTCATGGCTGCATCGACCACATATTCACCATTACAGACGAAAATTTCCCAATTATAAGAACAAATTCAGTCGCAAATAACCCTAAATGCTTTCTAAAGTCGGGTAGGACCTCCCAGTGAATAGTTGTTATGGTTTAAAACTTCATGATTTTTATTGTAAAATGATTGCATCAATCAGTCAATCATCAACTACGTAGAACTTCATACGTACGTACATCAGTTCGAGTTGCCATACCACATTAGCACAGAGATACAGTTGTCAATTCAAATCCTCTAGTGGTAGATGTAGTAAATTATAAGCAGTTATCAGATAGGTTATGGTTTGAAGATGATATTCAAAGAGTGTGATCCAGTGAAATAAATTAGGAAGCAGGAGAAGGGACATGACGAATTCAGGAGATTAGAATTTGGGCGAACACAAAGATTGGAAAAATGATTGCATAGAATACTGATCAGTTGCCAAAGTGGATGAATAAAATGTATCTGATTGATGACTGTTCTCAATCCCAAATTATTTATCCAAATTGCCAGATGAACTGATATCAGAAGACAAGGCAGCTACATAAAAATAGGCTTATTATTTAACATAGTAACATGCTTATATACAAAAATTACTAGCAGAAAAATAAATATTATTTAATATCACAAACAGTTGCAGAATATAAAAACTTTTATTCGTTCAATAAATTAAGACTTAATCGTTAGTCAGTGTTGACATAATTTGTGAATTTCTAGGTAAATTTGATAAGTCAGTTAATGAGGTTCATTATTTTTACTGGCTGAGATGGTTGATATATATTACGTCTATTTATCAAATACCTACCTTGTTGTATTATGCTGGTTAGTAACTCTAGTGCACCAGACATAAATGCGACATCAGCACATGAAATTACTATCACTTCAATAACCCGCCAAAAACGTGAAACCTGTGCTAATATTGACATTGCTCGAAAGTGCTTGTAGTAGCACAGATTCATTTACTTTTTACAATCTTATACACTGGATATTGTGATGCTTTAGTTTTTGATTCCCAATATATCTGTTTACTTTAAAATTTCTCTTTTTTATTTCTCACTGCTTTTATCTCCGTAGTGTTCACTCCTATGCTTTCCCCTTGTTTGTTTCCTATCAGTATCCTGAAATATAGCAACACGGGCCAATGCATATTTCAACAAAGTCTCCAGAAATTTAGGACGTATTTCGTATGGCTTAATGGCATTATTATTTTAAGCGTGGAAATGATTTTTCACGATACCCACGAAATGATTTTACTTTCATCCCCACCCATAGTAAATAACAATTTAACACGAACTTGGTTCTGTACTCTGCCATATTATTGTTGAATAAGAGCATATACCTTGGGTGTGTTTTTTGCTAGATTATACAATAGAGATATACCGTGTGTTATATAATCATTGATCAACTGTTTTTCAAGTCAGTTCTATTGCTTTATTGTCTATGATGAGATCCATACTCGTTTACATGCTTTTATTATGAATTTACCTCATAGAAACATGAACTCTTTCGATAATCCTGGGGAAGGTGATCAAAACAATCCTCGACAGGCTGAAATCGAGCAGAAAAAACTCGATATTGCATGTTACAAACATAGCTTGGAGCTAAATCGTATTGCTCTTAGCAAAACCATTTGGGATATACGTAATTATTGTTTCACTAACGCTCAAAATGACCCCTTGCTCTGTCCCCCAAGAGACAATCCATATAAATCCCAACGATCATGTACAGTTATTTAGGTTTTTTACAGTTACTTCCTTTTTATATATATTTGCTTCCTTGATTATAACCTACTTAAAATGCTTTTAATTATTTCACACTATGGAAATAGTGATTTCACTAACTTATTTGCGAACATCTGATTGGTACTGATATTGTTGTTGAAGCCAATGTCTATGGAAAAATGTCAAAATATAACTATATTGCATAAGTTTTGTTTCTCAACCCAAATGTTGTGTGATCTATCAGTCAGTCAGCTACAACGTAGGACCAGACACAAATATGCGTCGGTTCAAGTTGCCATACCTCATTAACACAACAAGGTGGACACCGGATTCATAGGAGTGGTTAAGTCAAAGGTGGTAATATATAAAAGAAACATTGCAATAAGGATATAGTACCGTAATAAAGAATTAGTTCGTAGAAAGAAAGATATGAAGCGGTTGTAACCTCTTAGATTAAGGGAAGACAGAGAGTGTATACACCGACGCCATTGTGATCGATTCTGAGCCATGTCACCAAGAGTCTCCAACCATCGGTTACGATAGTCACGCGGACCCCAACCAAGTAGTCTGCATCTACCAACATGGCTAAGACCAGGAGTTAGTGACTTCAAGTACTGATGCCACATTTTGGTTTGGCCGCCCCTAACTTTCTTCCAACGTTCCCTAACATTAGTCAGCATTGCGCGTCATGGTATTCGGTGTTCAGGCATTCGTAACACGTGGCCCTACCATCTCAATCGATGAAGATTCACAACCTCATCAACTGATTCACCATCATTTCCCAATACCCTGCGTCTAACCTCACTATTACTTACGTGGAGATCCCAGCAGACGCCAGCAATATTTCTGAGGCATCTGTGGTCAAATACTAGTAGCTTACGAGTATCTCCTACTCTTAATGGCCATGTTTCGTCAAAAATGACAGATTATTAACTTCCATAAAAGCTTGAGTGCTAGTAGTATCTTAGAGTACCTTTTTCAAGTCCTGCTAGTAAGGATTAAATGTGATCAAATACTATTAGCTTACGAATATCTTCTACTTTTAATGGCCATGTTTTGCAGCCGTCAAGTAGAACAGAACAGACCGCCGCGCAGTATACTCGTCCTCTTATTGATAGACGGATATCTCACCTTCGCCATAGGTGACGTAAGTTGGTAAAAGCCAAACGAGAACCGTGCAGAAAATGTCGTCAGACACCAACCCATTTGGGATGATCAGACTTCCAAGATAAGTGGAGTTGTCAACGCGTTCGACCACTTCACTCCCTATCCTTCGTTCAGGTGTTGACGCACCGGAATCCCGGAGCAACAACTTGCATTTAGAGGAAAGAAACGAATTCCGAACATCCTAGCATTGTTGCTTAGTGCTACCAAAACACTGCATTTTATCAGCGTCTTCACCAAACAGCACTATATCATCTGCGTATTCTATGTTGATAAGTAGACCTCCTGGTGGGATATCAATGCCCGAAAATTCAGTAGACGAGAATGTTACTTCCATTAATAGGTCAATGATGAAGTTAAACAAAAATGGAGAAAGTGGACAGCCTTGACAGACACCACTTGATGTTGCAAAAGCAGGTGACAGTTCGCCATAAGCTCTCACTCGACTGGTAGTGTTCGAGTAGAGAGCCTTCACAAGGTTTGTGTACTTCTGATGTACGCCTTTCAATGACAGACACTGCCACAGAATCTCGCGGTCTACCGAGTCAAATGCTGCTTTTAAGTCAAGAAAGACCACCATTGTCGGACGCAGATAAGTATGTCTATGTTCTAGAACCTGACGAATGGTGAATATGTGGTCGATGCAGCCATGACCGGGTATGAAGCCAGCTTGATTCTCTCGTGTTTGCAGTTCACGAGTTTTAGTTAGGCGTCCGATAATTACTGAGGCTAGTACTTTAGATACTATATTAATCAAACTAATCCCCTTATGGTTATCATAAGATGATTTTGATCCTTTTTTATATATTGGGACGATCAGTGATTGCGATCAGTCAGATAGGACTACATTCAATTCCCAGATTTTAGCTAGAATATTAATCAACCTAATCGCTAAAACTGGACCACCATCCTTAAAGACCTCTGAAGCCAATCATTTTGCATAATCTGCTCTTCCTCGTTACAGATTAACTATAGCTATTTGAACTTCTGCTGGATTTGGAGGACCTACTTCAATGTCCTATTTACACTGTCTGAGAATGGTGGGTAGTTGTAGAGTAGCTGAAGGCCAACCGAACTGTTCTCTGAAATTTTCCGCTCGTCGTTCCAAACATCAGGACTGAGAGCAGATGAGAGTATCTTCTTTTTTCGAAATAGTCTGACTTACGCTTGACTTATTAATTCCAGTTTCTTTTATTAGTCTGTAGAGCTGTCTCGTCTTCCCTAAAGCTGCCGCCTTTTCTATTTCTTTTGCTTTCGTTGCCCACCACTGCTCACGGTCGTTCCTTAGACTTTTGGTTAACCTAGATCTGATTGGTTGTCGCTCTTCATCGTGTTCAGAGCCTGATGGGATGAGTTTACGAGAATCCATCAGTGCAATAGACCTTGAGCAAATCCATTGGTTCTTTGTAACCCTGTGGTTCAAATCACTGATAGATGTCACTGCTGTTTCCACAGCTGTTTGTATATCTTTTCAAGCAACATCTGGGTCAGCCTCGTTTTCAGAACTACCTAATTGTGACCTCAGTTGTTCCTGGAACCTACTTTTGGTTTTCTCGCTGCTCAATTAAGTTCTAATGGGTCTTCTTACTGAGGCTATTTTGCGTCCAGTGAGGCGCAAGCAGATGCGTGTCCGTATTAGAAATTAGTCGGAGTCCAAGCAGGTACTCCAGAATGAGCGACAATCTTCTACTGACCCTCTCCAACGATAACTGATGGCAATATGGTCTATTTGAGTCTATCGTTGATTTGGTGTAGGGGGTCGCCACGTTAGACGCTGTCTCTTCTTATGCTCAAAATTTATGTTTGCTAAAAATGAACGATCGTCTGAGCACAGTTGCAGCAGACGATCATTATTATCGGTTCGTTGTACCGGAATACTAAAATACCCACCCCTGAATGTCTTTCTGTTTGGTTTAAACAACCTATCTGGGCATTAAAGTCACCTGCTACGAGTACTATGTCTGAACGTTTAGCTTTCTGAAGAAGTTCAGATAGCTTTCTGTAAAATTCATCTTTCATTTCATCTGAGCTGCAGTCGGTGGGAGCGTAGGTAGAAACGACAAAAAGGCAATGACGTGCGTCCCTATCCTTCCGAGTTCTTACGGAGCCGTTTAGCCGAACAGCACATAGACGACTGTTGACGGGGATCCACTCTAACAATGCTTGTTCCGCCCTCATGCTTAGTGCTACGCCTACACCTGCCAGTCCACGAGAGCTGGCCGTCGGGTCACCAGATACACGGAGGGTGTATCTCGTTGGTTCTCCGTTTTGCCGAGGTGAGGTCAAGTGAATGACCACAATGGGATCCTGTATGCGTGTTTCAGAAACACAGCATACATCAATGGTACGAGATTCTAGGGTTTTAGCCAAGGAAGCCTGTTGACCGATTTGACATAGGGTTCGTACGTTGAAGGCTCCAATGTGTAGTTTGGAGCGAGGTTTCAGTAGACCTGGGACAGAGTTTTGAGCACTAGAATCGTTGGCTATGGTGACACTTGAGGGGAAAGCTGAAAAAAGAAGTTTAGAGTTTGAAGTTGATGTAGGAGGAATAATAGGAATTGAAGAGGGAGGTTGATTATGAATACAGTGGTCTTGAGTGCTGTTAGAGGTATGAGGGCGGTTATCACTTCCCGGTTGCCCACACCGTGGAAGGGTTCTTCTGGAGGTACCTGAAAGAAATTGGATTAGAGGTGGTCTTAGTGACCTGGGAGCGTGACCGCAGTGCCCAAGGGACAACTGCTTGAGGTCGGTCACACACGACCTTTTTATGCGTAATTTTTGTGTTAGCTCCGTACTTGTTGAGACCTTACCGCCGGAGATGGATATCCGTGGGATAAGGCGAGGTGTGCATTTTTAGTGTCTACTTTTTCTAACCCCACCCTTCCTTGTGGGAAGGCAGCATCGCTGTCGCGCTGGTTGTCTAAAGGGAACACTTTACTGCTGTCACACATCTGTACAGTCAGCAGTACGACTTCGCCTTCGGACCTTGGGTTTGTTGCTTTTAGTCTTACTGCTCTTCAACCGATCTGTCTGACATGGTAGGACCTTGAGGAACGGTTGTTCCAGCCAGTATAGCTCGGTTGCTTCATCAAGACAGGCAAGCCCGACCACCACGTCAAGGTAGCAACAACGGTCGAATGTGTGATCTATCAATAGCTGTTTAGCAGCATTTTCTGAAGATTTTGAAACTGTACTTGACAAACGATTATACTCAACTCGTGTTATTGTATCCAAAAATTGCAAAATATATTATCTCGAAATATACAACAAATTCTGAACTACTTTTCAGTTAGAAACTGACATCTCGATACATACTGATAGCACTAAAATATTGTCTTTGATACGTTTGTTTTGCATAGCACTTCTCCATACTCTAAACAGAATGACTAATTTCAGTCTGATATATTTTGAATTATAGTTGAATCTAAATTATTATTATCCAGAAATCACTACAAAGCCTGTGGAGAAGACAAATACGGTATTCTTATTTATTCGTTTGTATCAAAAACTAGGAAGTCTTTTCAATGTCACCTGATCACACAGGTTATAGACTAACTTTTAATACACGTAACTTTTGTTTGTAACTATCAAGGTAACAACAATAAAACTACTATAATTTTGCCCTTTCAAGGTATGTCAAAGAGACGAACTGTACAGAGTATCTTTCGTTTACCTTTTCTGTAAATGTACCAGCAGTATTTTGGTTCCACTGGGATCCTAAAAACATATAGATGGGTTCCTAATCGGATAGGATGTCCCAAATCAATGAATTAGATGCAGTTCTCTTGTAATGTAAAAATGAACGATATCTAGAAGGTGACCGGTGTTGTTCACGACAAATAGTTGAATAAATTTCTGCTTCACATAGCGGAATTCAGACGTTTCGATTTAACTTTAATATTATTTACATTAGAATTTCTTTTAAATGGTTATGATAAAGAAAGTCGATTCGAGTTTTTATCAGAAGTTATTTCTTCTGCTAACAAGTCACAAGCGCCCTTGTGCTTTAACCAGTGCTTTACTTGACATTCTCGACTACAGT